CACCTCAGCCTCCCAAAGGCGCGGGATTACAGGCTGAGCCACTGAGCCCGGCTAGGAACTGTGATTTTTGTCCTTAGGAGGGACAGTGGGGGAAACAGACATGACTGATTCATGCTCTAAGACCCAGTTTAGGTGTGGCCCCCTCTTCCGGGAAGCCTTCCTAATGATGCCCCTGGCCAGTTTATTTTTATGGCCTGAGTGTTTGTGTTCCTCCAAAATTTATATGTTGAAATCTTTTTTTTTTTTTTTTTTTTTTTTTGTCAGAGTCTCACTCTGTTGCCCAGGCTGAAGTACAGTGGCACGCGCATGGCCACCTCAGCCTTGACCTGCTGGGCTCAGGTGATCCTTCAGCCTCAGCCTGCCAAGTAACTGGAACTACAGGCATGTGCCTCCATGCCTGGTTAATTTTTTGATTTATTGTAGAGACAAGGTCTCACCAAGTTGCCAGGCTAGTCTTGAACTCCTGGGCTCAGACAATCCTCTTGCCTCTACCTCCCAAAGTGCTGGGATTACAGGCGTGAGCCACCACGTCTGGCCATTTGTTGACATTTTAACCTCCAATGTGATGATTTAGGGGGTGAGGTTTTGAAAGGTAGTTAAGTCATGAGAATTAGTGCCCTTATAAAAGAGAATCCAGAGAGCTCTCTAGCCCTCTTTCCACCGTGTGAGGCCATAGTGAGGAGACAACTCTCTGTGAACCAGGAATCAGGCCCTCACCAGACACCGAATCCGCTGGTACCTTGATGTTGGACTTCCTAGCCTTCAGAACTGTGAGAAACACATGTCTGTTGTTTAAGCTCCCCAGTCTATGGTATTTTTGTTATAGCAGCCCAAACTGACCAAGACAGTTAGATATTCCTGTTCCATACATCCACGAATCACTCAAAGAATGGTTCTGCATCAAAATCCAGGGGTAAGAATCAAGACCCCACCCCAGACTGCCCCAGAAAACTTCCAGGAGCAGGCCCTGGAATCTGCATTTTAGACATGAGTCTCAGGAGATTGTAAAAAACAGTAAATTTTAGAAACCATTGTTATTAATTCCAGCTTCCTTGTACTGGAATTAATTATCTCTTTATACTTGCCTCCCTGTCTGGAAAACGAACTCTTTAAAGAAAAGAACAGCATCTTATTAATTTTATATTCATGCCTCGCTTAGTACCAAGCACAGATTTGGGCATTCAACACAGGTTTGTTGAATGAATAAATGAGTGTTTCCCATTGCTCGTATGTCTGTAAGGGCTGAGAATGGGAAACGTTTAGGGCAGTGTTTGCTTCTTGGAAGTTCCTATTGCTGGCCAACCCTTATTCACTCTGCTGGGAATTGATTGAACACACAGTGGAGGAGCCCCTGAAGAATAACTTGCTTGCACCTCCTGGATTTGATAGCAAGGCATTTTTGGGCCGTAATTAGCATCATAGGAACATGCACTCAAACCTTGGGCTGTACCTTGACGAATACTTGTAATGGAACGCTGAATCAGAGGCCTGGCTGGGTGCTTTAAATTTACTACAATGTAATTTTTTTGGCATTACCCTTTGCGTTTGGTTCCGCTAATGAAATTGAAATATGTAATTTCACCAAAGTTCCACTGTAATTTAGCAATTAATGTACAATTATTTTAATGCATTACTCTCTTTTTAGCAAACAAACAAATTAGGAGGTTGCATGTTTTGCTTGGCTTTAAATTACCAGAACTAGCCTCTCATTTTCCACATGGGCAAATGTGGTTTGTGTGCCTCGTAACACATTTAGATTTACAAATTTTCTAGAAATGCAGACATGGGAGGGTGAGCAGGCAGCGCACACTTTAAATTTAGAGGCTTTTGAAATCAGGGCTCTGAACAGCTCAGCCCGAGGCTGAATCAGATACTCCCCAGAATATCTGACGGCAAACCTCGGACCCCAGAAGCAGCACGAGAGTGCTGGAGAGTATAACCCAGTAGCAGGATGTGATCGGGGCATCGTTTCAGATACACATTGAGATTGTCCAATCTTGATCTGAGGGCCGTCGGCAAAATCAAGAAAAAGGAAAAAAAAAAGCACATAAGATTCTGCCTTGAAAATAACTTTCTGTGGACTGCCTGCACTGGACAGAAGGGATCCAGCACAGAATGCCTGCTTTAGATTTGAAATATATCCGCTGAGATACATTGGCAGCTGCAGAAGCTTCTCAGGCGAGAAGAAACCACTGTTGTCAGCATTCTAGATTTCCTTAAAGTTTCTGGCCTCTTCCATGGGGAGCGCCATCCACGTTGGTGGCCTTTCCCATTTTCCACCTACTTCTTGTACCCACCTTGAGACCCTCTTTGGGCTTAGAGATTAATTCAAGACAGTTTTCCCTCCCCACCCCCTCCAGCCTGCCACTCTTTCTGTGCTTGTTCTGCTTCAAAACTATGAACATTCCCACTGTTTTGTTGATCTGGGCTTTTTATTCAAGGGCCCGTCTTGCAGGAGATGGCCCTAACACATCAGCAATAGAGGATGACAAATGCTAAAACGGCGGGGAGAAAAGGGCATTCCTGATTCCCTCCCACATATTTACATTTACATGCTCCAGAGATTGTGATTCGGGCTCCTGCCGTCATTAAGCGTGAGCATACTTTCTACCTGTAATGACCTCATCATGCTCTGAGATTATGGCCTGCCGCCGCCCAACACTTTCAGACGACACTGCGAACTTTAAATTGGCACTCCAATCTCCCGGTAGCCTGTCATTCATGAGAATCGCACATCTTTATGCCAGCAAGCCCCTTGGATGGAGTCTGACATTGCAATCTTCAGTAAATTACCCTGTCACTGACAATCTTGCAGTTATCTCGCAAACAATCAAGCAGGCAATCAAACTGTTCTGAATTGCCAGTTCAGGACCTGGGAGTCAGGCGATGTCTCCATTCAACAGTGGCAGGAAAGCGGCCCAGCCCTCCTAGGACATTGGATGATTTATTTATTTATTTATCTGTCTACGTATTTGTTTGTCAGATTGGCTGCCCCTCCTCCCGCAAGGGTCAGGGGAGAGGACTGCAGAGTCCTCGGAATGGGCCCAATTCTGACTCAGCAGTTATGGGAAAGCAACTTAGGCCTTCCCAATTGGGCCCATGGTGGTGGCACTGCCCAATCTTAGTTCACTTGGTGAAATGGGGCCAAGGAGAAAGATCTAGGTGCTTTCTGTCAGAACAGACGCTAAATCATGGCGCTGGCAGGAGGCTACACCTGCACGCAGTACACTAATTGTCATGGCCGTTTCAGAGAAATGCGGATGTGGAGAAACCTTCTGGGAATCACATGGAGCCATCCTTTTTATTGCTCTGATAAAGGAAATCAGAGACACTCTTCCAGAACCATTTTGGCAATGTGAAGCAGAAAGCAAGCTCATTAATGCTGAGTTGAATCCTTTGGATTAGAAGTCCCGGGGTAAGAAGCCAAAAAGTCTACACAGCACTAGAGGAAGAAGCCTGGCTCCTGGAATCAGATGGATCTGAGTTTTGAAGCTCATGTCCTCTAGTCCCTGGCGATGTGAGCTTGAAATGATAATCAACCTTGCAGGGCCTCAATCTCCTTGCCTTTAAAACTGAGTTATAATAGTGCGTATTCCATAGGGTTGTATGATAGAGAATGCATGAATTGATATATAGAACGTCAGTCTGGCATATAGTATGTGTTCAATGAATGCTAGGTATAATTATAACCAGAAACTCTCTGAAGTTTTAAACTGGCCATGAGGCCGGGCGCAGTGGCTCATGCCTGTAATCTCAGCACTTTGGGAGACGGGAGAATTACTTGAGCTTAGGAGTTCGAGACCAGCCTGGATAATATGGTGAGACCTCATCTCTATAAAAAAAAAAAAAAATTTAGCTGAGGATGGTGGCCTGTGCCTGTAGTCCCAGCACTTTGGGAGGCTGAGACGGGAGGAGTGTTTGAGACCAGGA